GTAGCTAGGGTTACAGGTGTGAATTTTAAGAGTTCTTTGTATATTTTTGGATAACAGTCCTTTATTAAACATGTCTTTCGTAAATATTTTCTCCTATTCTGTGGCTTGTTTTCTTATTCTCTCTTTTTAGTACGGAGTTTGAACTCAGGACTTTGAGCTTGCTAGGAAAGCACCACTTGAACCATGTCCCCAGAACTTTTAGCTTTAGTTTGTTTTAGATAAGGTTTTACACTTTTGCCCAGACTGGTCTCTGACCACAGTCCTCCTACCTCTACTTCTTAAGTAGTTGTGATTACAGGTGTGTATCACCACCCCCAACCTGGGCCTACTCTTGCTGGTCTGATTTCAGGGGCAAAAGTGAGCCACAGAGGATATCTGTAATTCCTGGCCTGGCCCTGGCCAGCATCCCCTGGAGAGCGAGGGTTGAGCTCACCAGCCAAATGTGTTCACTTCTTGCCCAGGCCTGAATGTGGCCCCAAACTGCCCAGAGTCCAGACTACCTTGTGGTTCAGGAAGAGGCCTGACCCAGGGATTCCTCGGAAGCTAAATTAACAAGCTCAAAGAGCCATCTCCCAACATCTTTCAGTGGGACCTCATGCACCTCTCGAGTAGCCTTTGTTCCCACAACCTAGTGGGAGTCACCTTGGGAACAGACATAGAGGACGGAGCCACTTGGCCCAAAAATGTTTGTGTCTAGGCCTGGTTCCACAGGGCTCCCTTACAGAGTCGCCTGCCTGCAGATTCAGAGAACTTCCTGTGTGAGTACTATCTCTATGGTGTCACACAGTGAGCACTGGATTGTGAATAAGCAGGCCTAAGTTGTAGACTTGGCACTCCCATCATCCAGTCGCCATGTGACCTTGTGACCTGGCGGGAGTCACTTCCCATCTCTAGACCTTGGCTACAGTAAAACGAGAAGCCTGGAGCAAGGAGTCTTTCAGACCTCTTCCAGCACAATGCCATGTTCCCGGCAAGTGGCCTGGGATTGCTTTTCTAGTAATTTAATTGTAAGATTCAGGGCAGGATTCTGCAGGTCTTGACACAAGTCTGCTTTCTTGCTATGCATTTTGCCTCGGCTGTAGCTGATTCGTGTCAACTGCCAGCCCAGGCCTTGACACAAAATAGGTGTTAAACAAATGTGACCTGAGCCCATGAACACCATACTTTCACAGTCGCCATGGGCTGAAGACAGAACAGGATCTCACTCTGCACAGCAAGTGCTGATTGTGGGTTCTCAGACTGGGCAACATGTTCCTCCTTGTCACACTTCTGATCTTCCTTTCTGGCCACATGGAGCGGGGCAGAGCAGAGCTGCTTACATCACGGTAGCCAGGAAGCTGAGAAACAGGCAGGGTTCAAGGATAGGGTGTCTTTCCAGGACACGCCCCCAGTGATCTTCTTCCTCCACCCAGTTCTCACTTCCGAAAGTCTCTATCACCTACCAATAAAGCCACCAAATTATGACTCCACACCACTGATTCATTCATTGGTGAGGCCAAAGCCCTCGTGATCCAATCACTTCTCAATGATTGAATCCACCAACCCCCCAACACATTTGCCTCTGGGAGGACAATTCATACCCAAACCATGACACAGGCTATGGGATTTCACCACACTGACAAACTAATCACCTAACCTGCTGTTGTTTCACAGATGCTGGTAGGAGAGATTGAGTCAGAAACAAAGCAGCATAGACATATGTCTGTTCTCCTTGCCCTTAGCCCTCATTGGCGCAACATAGATGCACACATGCTTTGTGACTTTACTGAAAAGCACTGAACTTGGGAAACCTGCCACCATCATTTATACTGTAAACAAGCCTCCTCTCTGGGGGAGGAGGTTCCCTGATCTTTCAATGTTGCTGGCTACAAACACAATCCTGAGGAATGGTTAGTAAAGAGTGACCATGACCTTGCATTCTTGGCATACCCAAGGATAACATCCAGGGAGCTCAGGACCCATGAGGATTGCCCTTCCCAACAATGCCTGTATCTAGCGTCTGCTTGTGCAAATTCTACCCATCCTCCAATGACACCTTGTGCTTGGAAATTCCACAGTCCTCCTCTGACACATACTTGCTCCTCCCTTTTTTCATTTTCCTTATAACCCTCCTCTCCACCTCTTAGTGTCTACAACCACCCCTTCCTTCCAGCAGAGTGCCAACATACGAGGGCAGGTGGAGGGAGGTTCTCTTCATTCCCGCTTTCCATAGCCAGGTGTTTGCATCTGGCAAGTGCTTAGACCAGATTTCTTTAGTTGGATGGAATCACAATTTTTCTGCATGGTTATGCTTTTCCAGAAAGTCTGCTCCACCACCCCTTGGAATGTTTTCAGGATTCCAGAGACTAAAAATATCACCCCAAAGCTGTTGCAGGACTCTTCCTTGTAAGGAGCTGGACTTGATTCTTGAAGCTGAAAATTTGTGCCACCAGGTGGCGCGCTAATCCGCACATCTCCTGATCCTTTTTTAGAAGAGGAAGAATTCTCTTTGCTTTTCAAAGTTTGTTGGCTTAGTCTGTCTGCTCACAGAAACTCCATCAGTCCTACACTCAGGTTCATCCGCTAGCTGCCAGTCCGACCCTCAGCCCTGGTCGAAATCCGCATGCAGAGCACACGGAGGATGTACCACAAAGGGTTGCTAAGGGATGCTGAGCAGAAAGCCCCTACATTGGGGTCAGAAGACCTACGTTTGAATTCCAACAGTCACATTTCCAAGTTATGTTTCTTTGGGCATGTCACTTACCCTTTCTGGATTCCTGGGAGAGTAGCTGAGAATAAAATGTGGGAAGTCCCTAAAAGTACTTTGAAAGTGGACTTGGTCAACTTCAACACCCTTAGTGTAAGTGCTACTTTCCCCATCAAGGAATCTGAGCTATTAACAATTATTTCCTAAGGGCAAAATAGTTTCTGCTGGGTATTGAGTGGGGGTGGAGAGGGAGGGGGCGGAGTGGGTGGTAAGGGAGGGGGTGGGGGCAGGGGGGAGAAATGAACCAAGCCTTGTATGCACATATGAATAATAAAAGAAAAATGAAAAAAAAAACCAATTATTTCCTAGGGCTGGTGTAAGGATCAAGTGGAACAATGAATATAAAATGGTTGTCATGTGCCTAGCACATAGTGAGCATTTAATTAATGAAACCACACATCTATTATATGTCCCCAGCCCTTAAAACAGTGCCCAGTATTTACTTGCTGAATAAAATAATTTTACAGATGGGAAACTGAGGCCCAAAGAAGTGCCCGTGCCCTCAGGTTCTCCTCACTAGGAACTAGTGAGGTAATGATGCATAGCCCGGCACTCTGACTTCAGCGGCTTTGCCCTGAGCCTCCATAGATACGGGCGTTGTGCATCGTGATTTACTCATTTTTAACAGCATTGGGACCGTTCTCAAGCACTCTGTGTGGGCTGAGTTGGCAGCGATAGGCATTAGTCTCCTGAGAAGCCATGTAGCTTTTTTTTTTTTTAATGCCCAAAAGGAGGCCAGAGGCTAGCCAGTGGATGCCTCTCATGACCAGGAGATGAAGGGACTAGCTCTGTAGTGTAGGATAACCTGGAGGTCATATGCAGGTGTGGTCAGTCATAGTCATTGTTGTTGCGAGTCTCTCCACCCCATTAGAGGGGTTCTCTCAGATCCGTTCCTCTTCCTGCAGCCACTCAACCGTCAACTCCACTTGTGTTTACTGAGGGTCTTCTATGTGCCCCACACAGGCAAAGATGGGTAAGACATGACAACCAATGGTTGCAATGTAGCAGACTCAGAGGTACTGGGGAGGATCATCCAAATGGAGGTCTAAGAAGAGCAAGTAATAACAGTGAAGGGGGCTGGACCAAAAGTCAGCAGCAAGTGGACTGGGCATTGAAGGCTAAATTGGAGTTTGCCAGCCAAGTTGGGTCTGGGAATGAAGGGTATTCTGAGTTTCTTTGTGAAACAAGGCAATTGGTGTGTTGCCATTCTGGGTGGGAACATCGTAAGGGAAGGAAGTGGAAAACTAAGAAGTTGGGTTTGGTTAGGGACAGATTGTGAAATATGTCCCATAAAAAAGACAGAACTCTACCCTGTGGTCAGTGAGGAAAGTGTGTACTGACCAACTAGTTCTATTTCAGAAAGTTGCCAAAGTGCACAAAAGGTTGTATCTGAGAGGTGGGAAGAGTCCAGCAGCAACGTGTTTCCCTGTCTGAACCCCGCCCAGGAATAAAATCAGGAAAATAATTGTTGCTCTCTCTTGGCTTATTTTGGGGCTTAAAAGAGAATGCGTGCCTGTTACCATAATGACAATAATGCACATTTAAAATGCAAATAAATGTCATTGGTTTCATTACAGGCCCCTGGACTGAGTAGTTAAGCACAAGGGCTTTGTCGTCTCTTAGACCTGGGTTTTTGTGCAAGTCACGTTAGGTGGCATGTTTTTAATCTAGGCAAGATATGAAGATGGTCAGGAGGGGATGGCTAAGAGATTGAGGTGGCTATGCTCTGTGCCCTGTGGAAGAGGCAGTGGATCTGATGGAAAATCTTCTGTGATCCTGACCTGGGAAACTCCGTGCTGAGACAGCCTGGGCCCAGTTTTGAACAGGAGTTCGCGGTGGGCACGACCTCACGGATGTACAGGTGAGAATGGCTGTCAGGTCAGGTGCGCCCAGGCTATGACAGGACAAAGAGAAAAGAAGAGGACCGGCCCAGTCGGACACTGGCTAGCGAAGCCGGCTTCCCCTTGAAGCTGGGATGCTGGGCTGGAGCCCGGAAGGCAGGGCTGGTAGAGGCGGCCCCAGATGTGGCAAACTTGCTCCAGCGGCGCGGGCGACAGGCCCGCGGCGGGCTAGTGGGTGCGGGCGAGCTCCGCCCAGGCCTGAGGATGGAGGAATCGGCACCGAGGGGAAAGGGGGGCTCCAGGGTGGAGAGCCAGACGGAAAGAAGGATGGCAGGAAGCCGGGAGGAGCGAGCGGGGGTGGAGACGGTGGAAGGGAAGGAAAAGGGAGGGTAGGAGGGGTGGAGAGAGGGAGAAGAGGAGGAGGAGAGGAAGGGTAGTGAGGAGAGAGGCCGCGACAAGGACTAGGAGGGGATCAAGCGCGGAGGCCGCGCGGGGCGCAGCGGGCACCTCGGCCGGGCCTCCCCCGCGAGCAAGGCGCCGCCATTCCGCTGCTCGGGGCGCCGCCACCGCCGCCGCCGCGTCCGGGGGCCATGCTCCCGCCGCCCCCGCGCCAGCCGCCGCCCCAGGCGCGCGCGGCCCGCGGTGCGGTGCAACTGCAGCGGCCCTTCCTGCGCGGACCACTGGGCGTGCTGCGGGTGCTGCAGCTGCTGGCTGGTGCCGCCTTCTGGATCACCATCGCCACCAGCAAGTACCAGGGCCCCGTGCACTTCGCGCTCTTTGTGTCCGTGCTCTTCTGGCTGCTGACCCTGGGCCTCTACTTCCTCACGCTACTGGGCAAGTACGAGCTGGTGCCGGTGCTGGGCTCGCGCTGGCTCGTGGTTAACGTGGCACACGACCTGCTGGCGGCCGCGCTCTACGGTGCGGCGACGGGCATCATGATCGACCAGACGCAACGCCACAGCTACTGCAACCTCAAGGATTACCCGCTGCCCTGCGCCTACCATGCCTTCTTGGCGGCCGCCGTCTGCGGTGGCCTCTGCCTCGGCCTCTACCTGCTCTCGGCGTTCTATGGCTGCTGCCGTCGCTACCAGGGCAAGCAGGAGGTGGTGTGAGGCCGTCGGCGCCCGACGCGGCCCCGATCGGCGCCGGGACCTCCAAAGTCCTTCCTGCCGCCGCCGCTCCGCGCCTGTGCGCCCTGGCACCCTCCCTTTGCCTTGCCTTTCCACTGCCGCCCACGCCCAAGCCCGCTGACGTGTAGTTCCCGCCGGATCGCAGAGCCGCAGTCCACTCCAGACTGCAGCGCCGACGCGCCGTCGGTCTCCAGCGACCAGCACGGCGATCCGAGGGGCGGATGCACACGCTCAGATGGTCAAAATCTCGAAGTTCCTTTCCCCCTTTCCTGCTGAGAGCAAGACGTGGACAGGCGCCGCGTAGATCCGGGGGAGGCTCCCAAATTGGAACCAGTCTTAGGACTGCGCCACTGTCCCCTCCCTCTTACCCCGTGGTCTGAAGAGCACACCCTTCCCGGGCCCCTCTTCCAGCCTCGGGTGCTGAAAAAGGCAGGCAGGCAGAAGCGGGTGGAGCTGGTGACAGGCCTCGGCTGGTCCTCCCATGAGTAACGGGCTTGGTTTTAGTTTGGGATTGTGCGGACATCCTGTGCAGCCCCTCCCTGCCCATCCCTTGGTGGGGCCAGTCTGCAGAGGTGGGGATAGATAGGAAAAGCTGGTGGGCTGTGCCCTTACTCCTTTGGGGTCTTCTCTTGCCTCTGCCTCCTCTGCCTTTGTCCTCGCTGTTCATGCAGGCCAAACACACTAACTTCCCTGGCCTCACAGTGACACAAGTCTCTTTCCAGAACTCACTGGCCTCTGTTAAACCCCTGCCCCTCAGCATCTGTTTGCATTAGGGATCCCACACAACTGTGGGAATGTTAGGGTGAGGCCCACCCTGTCTTTGTACAGATGAGGATCCAGAGGCTGCTCTTGGGAACAGTCAGCACAAGGTTAGAATCAGGTCTCCACATTCACCTGTGGCTGGTTTACACGAAAGCAGTGGGTGTTCCTGGAAGCCTGGCTCAGGAGCTAGCTCCTCAAAGGGGTTTGTGGGTAATGTCTCCCCTTCTTGGAGATGGGTGTTGCTGGTTAGTCCCATGGGTACAAGAAGTCCAAGCACAGTAACTTAGCATTAGTATCAACTGCTTCTGGGCCTGGGCCAGTGTTTCCCACCTTAGGGTTCCGGGCAGCTCTGTGTTGTCCTGATTCTAGTTCATTCCCACTGTCTGACCCATTGACGACGATTTGAGAAGTTCCTTTTTCCCAGGGAATTGCTGGGACCCACCATAGTGAGGAAGGAACTAGCTGATTCTCAATATCCAGAGACCTGGAAACTGGTGAACTCGAACATTCTTTTACATTGTTGAAGAAATGAAACCAAGGTTATCCAGGTGGTTTCCTAGTGAAAAGGAGAGACACCTGTAGGAGATCCTGGCATTGACTGGGAGCAGCTGTCAGGGTGGGCACTGCTCACCAAAGAGGAGAAATGTCTGGAGCCAGGGTAACAGCTGGCTCCGCCTCTAAGGTAAGACGCTGGTTTTCTGGAAGGGGTTGTAAGCCTTTGAATAGAAAGCTATTCCAAAAAAAATGAAAGGATTTTTATTCAGTGCAAGTTGTAGGGTTGACAGTAATAACCATGGTGTCCACAGAGTCATGAAAAGTCGACCAAAGGTCTGCTCTTTGAAATCTCAGCCTTCTTTGGCTTAGAAACTAGAATACTGGTGGCCGTGTTTTGGGGATGGAACCCAGGGCCTCATGAATGCTAAGCAGTCACTCTACTACTGACTGTGCCCCAGTCAGTGAGAGCATTTTTAAAGCTTGGGTGTGGGTTTTTCTGTATGGTTGGGTTTTTCTGTGTGGTTTTGAAGGTGATGGTTGGGGTGGGAATGCAGAACAGGTATGTAAATTTTACATAGCACTTACTGTAGCCCTACTGTGCATCTGGCACTGCTGAAAGCATTTTACATGGTTTCTAATGTTCAAGATCTCCCCGCTAGTAAGTGATGGAGGTTGGATTTGAACACTGGCAGTGTGGCCTTTTCAGCACCAGGCTGTACTGTATGTAGTAGGGGTCAGTACGTTCTTGATGCTGTCAGTGTGATTATTTCTGGATCTGGAGGCTTAGCTCAGTGGTAGGATGTATGCTTAGCATGTACAAAGTCCTTGGTTCATGAAATACTCAGCACCAAAAATACTCAGCTAAAATAAAAATAACAGAAAACTTCAACCATTTTAACCAGTTTTTGTTTTTGTTTTTTGGTGGTACTAGAGTTTGAACTCAGGGCTTTGTCCTTGCTAGACAGGTGCTGTCCCATTTGAGCCACACCTCCAGCCCTTTTTGCTTTTCGGTTATTTTTTTAGATAAGATCTCAAGTTTTTGTCTGTGGTTGGACTTTAGAGGTCTACCTGTCATCTTCTGCCTCATCCCATCCCATGTAGCTGGGGTGGCCACCACAGCTGACTTATTTGTTGAGATGGGATTTCTCCAACTTTTTGCCAGGGCTATGATCTTCCCGATCTCTACCTCCTGAATAGGTGGCATCACATGCCTGAGACACAGCGCCCAGACTTTTTTCTTTTATGAGACAGGGGCTCACTATGTAGCCTTAAACTCACTATGTAGCCTAGGCTGGTTTCAACAAACTCATGATTCTCCTGCCTCAGCCTCCTAAGTGCTGGGATTACAGACTTGAACCACCATACCCATCGTTTAAAAAAATTTTTTTTGGTGGTCCTAGGGTTTGAACTCAGGGCTTCACATTTACTAGGCAGGTGCTGTATTGCTTGAGTCACTCCACCAGCCCTTTTTTGTGTGTTTGGTATTTTCGAGACAAATCTCACAAACCATTTGCCCAGAGCTGGCTTTGAACCATGATCCTCCTGATTTCTGTCCCCCAAATAGCTAGGATTATAGGCATGAGCCACCAGCACCCAGCTCACACCCAGCTTTTTAAAGCTGGTCTTAATTGTACATTTCACTGGCATTAGGAACAGTTCACATTATTGTATAGCCATCACCACCATCCATCCCCAGAACTCTTTCCATATTGCAAAACTGAAACTCTGTATCCGTTAAGATTGTGGGAGATTTTTTGCTGGGTTTGTTTGTTTGTTTTGTTTTGTTTTTCTCTCTCTGGGGGAATCCCAGAACACTGAACCCCATGGGTCCCTTCAATGATATGGGGGACTTTTCTGGAACACCTAGGGTACCTTGGCAGTCCAGGACTTTGTTCTTCTGTTGCAGGTTTCCATGATACTGAGGCCATGGAGATTCCTAGAACCCTGTCAAGCACCCCCTCCCCCAGGGCCTGCTGTCCTGGCTAGCAACACCTTTATGACCTGGAGCCAGCAGAAGGTTTCCGAGTCTTCACTGCAGTGGGGCAGGTGGAGAGAGGGGACACCTTCTGCCCAACAACCTCCTTTTCACGCTATCCAATGGAAGAGCTGTGACAAGGACGACTGATTTTTGCCTTACCCTGAGAGAATTCCAGATTCTCCTGTGTTGATTTGGGAACAAGATTTCAGCCACCTGGAACTGAACGCTGCACCCCTATACCCTAAACGATGGTTTTTAGTTCCAGGTTTTGTTCTTTTTCCTTTTTTTTTTTTTTTTTTTTTTTAAGATCACCATGTAAACTGCATCCTTGGCTCAGGTCCAACCCCTCAGAATCTGTCTATGCCCAGGTGACCTTACTCAGGAGCAAATACCTTGGCCTTCCTGGTGCCTCATCTATGCAATGTACCTGTAGCATTCCAGAGCTCACTGGCCTTTCCAGATGTGCCTTCCCGCTTGGCTTCCAGCTGCTTGGCAGTTTCTCTGCCAGATGTGAGGACAGCTAAGACTGCCATCAGACCCACCCTCCCCTCAAGGGCCTGTGCCATAGGTCTGGCCACCTGATCTTCCCCACAGCTCTTGAATACTGGCAGTAGTCTTATTGGCCTGACACCATGACTGGAGCCAGCCCAAGACCACCCTGGCAGCTCCCAGCCCAGAGACTTTAGTCTGGGCTCACTTGTGGGCCCTGGAGGCGATTTTTACCATGTTTCCGAAAGGCCAAGAGAGGGTGGGTTTAGAGGAGTGAGGGGGATAAGGGAGAGGGGACCAGAGTGCCTCATCCAATAGTTTAGTTGTGTTACCAGTATGCTTTTCTGAATAAACTTTGGTTTATCTGATCTTGGTGTTTGTGTCTTCCATCTGGGTCCTCTGCAATAACCCTCTATTTGGGCTGTCCCCAGCCTCCCTCTGTGTACTCGCACAGTGCCCTGTGCTGCCTCCTCTCCACCTCTCTGCCTTCCAGAAGGAAAGGAAAGGGAAAATGAGTTCACAGATTTCCAGTGAGGGGACAGAGGTTGCCTGAGGGCAGGAACCAGAGGGAAGAAAACTGTCTGTCCCTGCCCAAGGCTGCAGGGAATTGCTCTCAATGGGCCTCTGTTTGGGAGTTCCATTGTGGAGCCAACAGGGTCCTGTTCTAGTCTAACCCCATCATCTTACAGAGGGGGAAACAAGGTCTCCCTGTATTGCCTTACAGCTGATTAGGAGTGGAATTGGGGGCTTCTGGAGCCCAGGACCTGGTTTTTTCCTGTTGTGCCTACTCTATGGCCCTGATTCTCCAGAGGTTGTTTGTTGGCCCAGCCGGCTGTTGCTTGCTGACTGATAGGCCAAAGGGCACGCCCGGGGCAGAGGACTGTCCTCCTTGCTGGCTCCTCCTTCCTGTGCCCTGGGCCTGATGTCTGCAGCTGGGAAATGGGATCCTACTGGCAGAGCTTAAACTCAACAGGAACAGCAGCTCCAGGCTGGGATCTGAGGCTGTGTGTCTTCCACACCCACTCTTCCAAAAACCCTCCCAATGTGAAAACTTGGAGTGATGTACGCACATATGCCCACCTTTGTGTTTTGGCCTGGCATTTCTAAGGTGGAGGGAAATGCCACCTGCTGCTGAGTTCCCTCGTTACTCCCCTTCTCCCTCTCCTGTCTGTACATTTCACACAAAATAAAAAGTGCTTCAGCTTTATGCAAAGTCTGGTAAGCCCTTAGCTTGGTGGGACATTTTGCAATGGAAAATGTGCTTTATTGGGCCGGACTTGTTGGTTTATGCCTGTAATCTCAGCTATGAGAGAGGCAGAGATGGGGGATCTCAGTTCCAGACTACCATACAAAGGTTAGCGAGACCCCTATCTCAGCTAAACTGGTGTGGTGTGATATGTCTGTAATCCCCGTTACATGGGAGGTGAAGGTAGAAGGATCCTTGTCTGAGGCCATCTGGAAAAGTATAAGACCCTATCTGAAAAATAAACTAAAGCAAAAAGGGCTGGGGTGTGGCTCAAGTGGTAAAGTGCTTGCTTAGCAGCTCAAGGCCCTGAGTTCAATCCCTAGAACACCACCACCAAAAACAAAACGGAGAGGGCATGCTTTTACCTGCGCTCCCTTATTTGGTTTTCCCAATAAATAGTCTTAGAGGTGAGCATGTTGACTCCTGCCCCAATACAGGAAACAGTCCCAGAGAAGAAAAGGGCCTCATCCAGGGTCACACGGCTGGCCAGACACAGGACAGGGATTGGAAGGCACAGATTCTCTAAGTCCTGTGGTCCTTGGCAGTCTCTGAAACTTGGTTTTCCCTCCTGGAGACCAGGTGTTCAGGAATGGCCTAATCTGGCATTTCCTGCTTCATGCGTGTGTGTTGGGGGATGGGGAGGGACTTTGAAATAAGACAGTGCTTCTCAGGGACAAAATGAGCCTGGGAGATCTCAGGGATTTGCTCTTTTAGGGCTATTATTTTCCCAGTTTTTCTAGGGGTGAGGGTAGCTGGTGATAAGAAAGAAGAATTAATCAACTCACATTTTCAGGCATGAAAGGAAAGAGCAGGGATACAAGAGAAAGATCTGGTTGGGGTGATTTATTTATGAATTTGCTGTTTCATTTGTTACACTAAGTATATCTATTAGAATGTAATAGCAATATATATATATATATATATATATATATATATCTCATTTAAAAATTTTGAACAGAAGTGTACAAAGTAAAAAAAAATCATTCAACCATCCTAGAGATGAAACCATTGTTGAGCGCTTGCCTAGCAAGGGTGAGGCCCTGAGATTAAGTCCTAGTACTGTAAAAAAAAAAAGCAAAAACCCAAAGCCAAAGCATTGTTAACTATTACATTTCCTTCCAATTTTTATAATTAACCAAACACATATATGTATGCATACACACAAATGCACATTTAAACTCTAGAAATTCTAGTTTCTTTTTGAATTTGACAGTACTATAGTTCTAACTCTATGTTCATATAAGCAATAGTCAGGAACTGTAAGAATCCCATGGACTTTTTGCTGTTTTTTAAAATTTTTTGGCAGCATTGGAGTTTGAACTCAGGGCCTCATGCTTGCTAGGTAGGCGTTCTACAACTTGAGCCACTCCACCAGCTCTGTGGGTTTTCTGACCTTTAACTTTCTTATGTTAGCTTTGCTACTCCCTTGCCTGCTTCCAATAGAGATCTTTGAAAAATCCTTCAAAGGGAGATGGGTCCTTTTTTAGCAGTGAGTTCACTGAGGCTCAGTGGGTCAAAGTGGTCTACTCAGGGCTGTGCCCTTTCTACCCCCCTACCCTACCAAGAGTAGCAAGTACAAGAGAGTTCTAGAGTGACTGTATCCCACCCCATTGTCAGTCTTAGGGAGAGGAACTCAAGGGACCAGGAAGTGGCTAGAACAAGGTGAGAAGGACCTGAGCCTTTCTGGCTTCTGTGGGGCAAGGTATACTAGGGGTGGGGAAGTGGCCGGAACCCAAGAAGAACACTTGGGCAAAATCAGAAGTCTTTGAGACCCACCTAGTCTAACTTCATCAGCCTATGGAAATCGCAGTCTGGCTAATCTGAAGATGCTTTTGCCCTCTTAATTCCACAACCCCATTCTTTTTTAGTGTTGCTTTTGTTTGCTCTTTTTTTTTTTTTTTTTGAGACAGAGTCTCACCATGTAGCCCAGGCTGGCCTCAAACTCATGATCCTTCTGCCTTAGTCTCCCAAGAGCTAGGGTAACAGGCATGCACCACCACACCAGCTGATCCTTTCCTTTTTGAACTGAGTGGTTACTTGGGAACATTGTTTCTCATAAAAAGAAATGAAGCACTAGCTGGGAGTCAGTGGCTCACGCTTGTAATCCTATTTACTCAGGAGGCAGAGATCAGGAGGATTGAGGTCTGAAGCCAGCTTGGGCAAACAGTTTGTGAGACTCTATCTCGAAAATACCTATCACAAAAAAGGGTTGGTGGAGTGGCTCGAGGTGTAGGCCCTGAGTTCAAACCCCAGAACTGCAAAAAAAAAAAAAAGTTGTGCGTTCTTTCCCCTTGGCTGTGGGGGCAGTCAGCAGCCAGAGGCAGTTCCTCTAAGCTTCATACCTGCATATCTCTGGTGGGGGTCAAGTCTGCCTCGCTGTCATCTTCATGAATCCTGAAGGAGGCACTCTGTTCCCCAGTTGTAAAGCACTACTGAGTCAAGGCTGGAAGAGGCAGAACTAACTTTATGCAGTGCCTACTATGAGCTAAGAACATGATGGTTACCTTACACTACTCTTATTCTCACAATTCTGTGAGGTACGGAATGAAAAGTTTAACAGTTTACCTCCCAGGGGAAAACTGACTAGCCAGGGTGCTTGACTCCTTAGTGCTAGGAACCAGATCTGTGCTACCCCACCATACCATGCTGCTCCAAGGATTCCAGTAGACAAACTGTTTTCCGAACCATCCAAGGCTTCATCCTAATCCAGTCTGAGTTTTGAAATAGTCATATCTTGAGCCAAGGCTGGAAGAAAGTCATACTATTACAAATCTGAATTACATCAGCTTTTCTCTTCCAGGTTGCTGATGATGTTAGATAGTTCCCTTCAGGTTTAAACAGCACACTGTGCTGCACACAGCCCACCTGTTCCCTGGAGACAGTCCCTGTCTGCCAGATGTGAGGAGGATGCATGACAGCCCTGCATCCTGTGTCTCATTCCTTTCCAGGACCCATGCCATAGTTACGATCACCTGGCCTGATCCTGAAGCCTCCTCCTTTTGAAATCCTGTCTCACCTCCTAGGTGCTCCTCTCTGCCTCCTTTAGTGGGTCTGGGCAGTGAGCATGACTGGCTCACATTTGTAGGTGAGCTCAGCCTGTGAAGTCAGAGAGGAGCCTGATCTCTTATTAGTTGTCTGGTCTGTGGCAATTTGCAGAATTTCTTGGCGTCAGAGCTTCACCACTCAGTCAATGGGGATAATGTCAGTGTCCCCCTCATTGGGCTGTGGACAGGGCTAATGAGATGCTGTCACAGAGCAGAGCGCCTGGCGATTTAGTGAGTATAGTTCAACTGTCAGCAGTATTATGTCTTTGGGAGGTTTTGTAAGACATGTAGGGGAAATGCTGAGCCCAGAGCCTGCCCCGTGGATGACTCCCTCTCCCACCCGAGCAACAGCAGTCTCACCAGCCATAGACGGATGATGCCTTCCATTCTCATGGGTGTCTACTCTGCTTTCGTGGGATCTGAAGTCCTCCTTTACCTTCCTTTTTCTTCCCCTTTGAAGTCTCACTTTGTCTCTGTGCT